AAATAAAAAAAAAATAAAATTGATTGTTGGTGGAATTAACGGTTATATGACTCTTTCAAATTGTTTTGATTTAAATTTTTGACCATTGCACTGACAATGGGGGCAAGGAGCCATTGGGGTCAGGTCGAGCTATATGGGAAAGAAAATTTCGGGGCGATCTCACGGGATGGGTCACACTCCATAACACACTAGGGTCGGGTCGGGCTCTAGAACACATAGCTCAGGGTCTTAGGTTGGGTTTAGACTCAAGCCTAGTTAGGCCTACCCAGGGCACGAGCGGACTTGGGGTGTGCCGCGAGCTCATGGGCTAAATTTATACCCCTATATGTGGGTAGTGGTTCTGAGATATATGATTAGTAGTTATGATATATGTGATATTGATTATGAAACAAAGGGTACTAGTTATGAGATGTGGTTATAATATATGTGGGTAAAGGTAATGAGATATATGATTAGTGATTACGAGATATGTGATTTTGGTTATGAGTAGAGTGGTATAGTTATAAGTCAAAGGGTGTTTGGTTATGAGATATGTGATTAGTAGTTATGATATATGTGATCTTGGTTATGAGATATGTGGGTAATGGTTATGAGTAAAATGGTGTCAAAGGGTGTTTGGTTATACTATATGTGTTAGTGGTTATGAGATATGTGGGTAATGGTTATGAGCAAAGTGGTGTCAAATGGTGTTTGGTTATGCTATATGTGTTAGTGGTTATGAGATATGTGGCTAATGGTTACGAGCAAACTGGTGTCAAAGGGTATTTGGTTATGCTATACGTGTTAGTGGTTATGAGATATGTGGGTAATAGTTATGAGCAAAGTGGTGTCAAAAGGTGTTTGGTTATGCTATATGTGTTAGTGGTTATGAGATATGTGGGCAATGGTTATGAGTAAAGTGGTGCCAAAGGATGTTTGGTTACGGTATATGTGTTAGTGGTTATGAGATATGTAGATAATGGTTATGAGTGGTTATGAGATATGTGGGTAATGGTTATGAGCAAAGCGGTGTCAAAGGGTGTTTGATTATGCTATATATGTTAGTGGTTATGAGATATGTGGGTAATGGTTATGAGTGGTTATGAGATATGTGGGTAATGGTTATGAGTAAAGTGGTGTCAAAGGGTATTTGGTTATGCTACATGTGATAGTGGTTATGAGATATGTGGGTAATAGTTATGAGTGGTTATGAGATATGTGAGTAATGGTTATGAGCAAAGCGGTGTCAAAGGGTATTTGGTTATGCTATATGTGTTAGTAGTTATGAGATATGTGGGTAATGGTTATGAGCAAAGTGGTGTCAAAGGGTATGGTTATGCTATATGTATTAATGGTTATGAGTTATGAGATATTGGTTATGTGACTAGTGGTTGTGAGATATGTGATGTTGGTTATTAGATATGTGACTAGTAG